ACTTTATCAGGGGACCTCAAAACGCGTTGAAATCTGGAAATTGACTTTCCGTCACATTACATAAACTTTTCCTATACTTATGAGTAGAAATGTTATATATGCTAGTATACAGGAAAGTAAAATCGCACATTGAGGACATACCAATTAATAAAAAATCTAGAATTAGAATGGTCTTCTAGGCCCTGAAAGAACGCGTCAAATCAATCGATATTCCCAAATTAAGCACCTGGATATTACTTTCTGGAATTGTTTTTCATATTCATTAATTTCTTGTGGCCCATAGTTTCGTCGTGAAACCTTTATATATTTATTAATTTCACTCCAGAAATAACGCAAAAACTACATTTAAAAAAAAAAAAAGTACATTACCTCTTAAAAAATTAATTTTGTACCAACATATATTTGCCTAAACCAAAAATACTTTCTTCAATTTTGTAATTTGGATCTTTTTGTTGTTGTGGCATTTAATTCACGTTTAACACTGGAATTTCGAAAGTTCCAAAATATTTTTTGGTGTTTTCTACAACTACAGAATTAATATTGAGATTTTCCTTGGAAATGAAAATTTGTTGTCCAAATTTGTTTCTTTTATTACGCTCATAGTAGATTTTTTAAAAATGTTGGCGTGCAAGTTATGCAATTTTAAAAGTAACAAAAACCAAGATTTCTAAAAACGACTCCATTTTTTTCTTTACTTTGTGAGATAGTGCTAATATACTCAAAAAAAAAAAAAAAAAAAAAAATCATGAGATAACATAAAACGCATATTGCCTATTCTGTTTTGTTTTTTCAAAAATGTAGTTTTTTTTAGCAGGGGAGGGGGGGGGGGGTGTCTCACAATGTCACGTTTTAATATTGAATTTATGTTGGCATTTTGAGATCGCGTTATGCATATTTAAAGTTATCTTTTTTCGTTTTATCATAATGGTTTTAGACGAATTTTCTTTGAAAACAATCTTTTTTGGGGTAATAAATTATGCTCATATTATTCTGGCATTTTCAGAAACGCTCCAATCACCATTTTCCTTTTTCCTCTAAAAAGAGCACCATTTTTCTTCTTCAAACTTTTCGAGAGGATAGTATTAATTGCACTCTTTAATATGAGTAAAGTTTTTTTTTTTTTTTTTTTTTTTTTTTTTTTTTTTTTTTTTTTTTTTATTTATTATTACAGCAATTGTAGTTTCATTTTAAGATCTCTCAGCTGTCTGTAACATGGGTATATGCACATTTTCCAGCAATTTGTAAACACTATTGTAATATGTGTAGTTACAAATGCTTCACAATGACTTCTACTGAAGTTATTTAGAAAATGAGCTTATTTCAAATATACAGTAGAGCGCTTAAAGCGCCATTTTTTAAAAAACAGCTTCTAATTTTTTCAAAGAAAATTGCCATGATTTAGATAGTTAATTTCATTGTCTTTATAATATTTTCCTTGAAATATATTTCTGTCGAGCGAACGCGAAATATGAATAAAATCTTCAAAGAATGTTATTTTGAGATTCGATACATTGGCAGCTTGCAAGAGAATGACAAGTTTTGTATAGCTAGCTGAACGAAAGGAATTAGGGGACTAAATTTAGGTGAAAGTCTGTGCCATTCTGTAGTACCACTAGTTTTTTTTAATTATAAAATTCAATATCTCTCGATGATGCAGACAAATATTGAGCTTTCGTCGATGACTCGTTAGGCATAGATCGATTGCAATCAAAAACCACTAAGTTCAAAATAAAGAAGCAAAACGTTGTTTTCCTTAAGAAGGCAAAATTAAACTTGTAATACTATACCGAGCTTAGGTCAACTAAAATATAATTCTAATGAATGTATTACTTGTTTCATTTTTTAATATTTTACTAATACATTATTGCTTTTGATACGGAGTCCGATGTACGCTTCATAACTTGCCTCTATCGACTGTATCGTGATTCAGAGGACAAATGGATAGAGTTGAATGACGCTGCATGTTATCTTATGGAGGGAGAAATAAATAAAATTGATTAATGAAAGGAAATTATAAGATGTAGATATCAAAAGAAGGTGAAAATCAAGATATGACATGAGTTAATTAAACATCAATTTTATTAGCAAGTAAATATATCTGAATCATTTAATTAGGTAAAAATAAAATATTGTTTGAACTGCGGGCGGTAACTGGCTCTAATGATTGAGAGACGACAAAGGCCTTTGGGTGTTTGGTCGGACGTCTTGTTCTGTCCGGCGGGCTTTGGGTCACACTTTCTGTCGCACAGCACCTTATGACGCCCTT